TTGGCCTTTGCTTATAAGGGTAACCCCACTCAGAGTTGCTGCTTGCATCACACTTGGGAGCTGTTTCAAACCAAAGAATGGACTGGGCTGTTTCTACAGACCTTGGTGCTCTTGCTTAGCACAGTCAGCTGCAGAGAGCAGCCAGGATTTTCATACTGCTGAGTGTATCACGTGAAGGGAGAAAGCTTTCAGACAAAAGGACTTCAGAATAAAAGTCCATCTAAATTTATTGCAAGAAATCAAAACCACACTGCAATCTTTCTGTTTGGCTTCCCAAGGTTCAGTCGAGAACTTTGTAGGTATTTTAAGCATCAGACAAGAACACTGAGTTGCTCAGTTTTTCAAAGTATAGTCCAGACTTTGATGCATTTTGTTTTTCCCAACAGCAGACTACCTTAGAAGAATATACTTTTATCAGACATCAAAGCAGAAGTGAATTCCTCTAAATCAGGGTTAAAAAGCTATGGAATTCACGGGGCCTGAATTCACCTCTGATACTGTGTTTGTAAATTCTTTTACAAGTTTTTACCCCCTCAACAAAATTCCTGTCCATCAGAGAAGCCCTTGGGATGGAACATCCACACAGCTTCAGAGGAAACTACAATCAGCCATAAAGGCCTAAAGTTCCTTTCTCCTGCAGAGAGCCTGCAGCACTGCTGCATTTCATATCCGTGTGTAAGCTCCCTCCCACCCGCAGCACTTCGGGCTCAGTACTCCTAACAATGCTCAGAGAGAACAACAGGCTGGGCGTGTCTGGGGCAGACTATGAACAACAGCTTTACTCGATGGTGATCATCATGAGTTCAAGCCTTAAAATAATGTATTTCCAAGAGAAGGTCAGCTATATAGAAATGCAAAGTTTTCTACATTTTGGATATTTTCAGGATGCAATCCTGAAATACAAAATGTTGACATGAGCTTCACAAGGAGCTTTGCAAGGTGTGGAGCTAAGCCAAAGCCTCACTGTTAGGACAAAGTCACCCCCACCCCTGTCTGCTAACACGTGTGATACTTGTGTATTTATAAAATTGTACAGAAATGTATTACCTGTGAGTAGTTTACAGTTTGGGAAATTATTTATACCATCATTAAAAGACAGCATACAGATGTGCCTCTAGTTGTCAGAGTGACTTTGTCAAGTACACCTACATACATGTTGCAAGACTAAAACCACAGGGATTTTCACAAAGACATAACATGAAAAATACATTATTCATCATTGTGGATAACTTGGTAAGTCTTCCCTTATGCTGGACTTAATTTAATGGCAACGACAGAAAAATAAACAGTTTACCTTGCTGTTTCCTATGAAGCTGCTAGTCAGGTTCAGCAGTCCTTATTAAGGTTTTTCTTTTACACTTGAAGATGCAGAGATTGGCTCCTTCCTCTGTAACATCTTCAAATCCGCAGTCTATCCACAACACAGCATTAATGAGTGCATTTTGTCCCAGATCAAAGTTGTTGTTCAACATCTGTGTTGACACAGTCTGTGCCAGCACATACCCTGATGGCAGAAACACAACTAGAGTAAACTGTTTACTTCATTATCTCAGTCTATAGAACAGCTCATTTCTTTTATCCAGTGAATACCAGAACCTCTCTTGATGAAAGATCCATCTGGTTTTGTTCTCCAGCCTCTGCTGCATGGCCTATCTGACCTGGCTTTAAGTTTCCATTTTCCTCTGCAGTTGAGCTGGAAGTTCACAGATGCCATATGTGAGCATAATGCTGCGGGGCAATGCTAAGAGCTGTGTTGCAATCCCTGCAATTTATTGAATTCTACTTCCTGCTATAGTAGGCAAAGGCTTTGACTTCACCCAAGCTGAAGATTGTTTCCTTAAGGATGAGGATCTTTTCAGAAAATCCTGAAGCCCCAGGTATGTATGAGAACTGGCAGGAAGGATCCTCTACCAACCTTTCTGATGCATCACTGAAACCCAAACCCATCCTTTTCAGAATGACATTCTGAGGAGATTTTATTACCTGTGACTGCACCAGTCACACTTGCTATAAATCTTTGCTTGATAATTTTTTTCATGACTAAAGACATGAAAAAATAAAAACATCCTAAGTGGATTCTACCAGTAGCAAGCAAGGCATGGAGACTTTCTCAGTATAAACTCCTGCAACTAATAGAGTACAGTAAGTTTTATTGAGTCCCAAGGATCAACACACAGTCAAGTTTTGTTCCTGCTGTATATAAGTAGCCAGATTTGGTCACTGTAATGAGCAGAACTGGCTTGAGCCTCACATTCAGCATGTCCAAGTGCATCTCTGGACACATGAGCTGGTAGCGAATGCCAAGATCCGTCATTCAGGCAAGCCACTGCAGACTCAGACATCATAAAAAAGAAAGCCAAAGAGGGCTCTGAAGCAATTCAGCATTAAAATCTTGTGCTTCCTGTCTGCAGCTTAATTATTCATCTTTCTACCGCAGGTTCTCAGAAGCAAATCTCAACCACAAACTCAAACAGTACAATAATAAAACAGCACAGAGAACCTTCACTAAATATCAGCACTAGGAACATTCCCTGGGGAGTGCTGAAAGACCATCAGATCAGAGAGAAAAAGAAGTCTATCCCAAAGCCTGGCATGAAAAACTGCTGTTCTCTTGAGCTGTACCTCTTGCAGCTGGACTTGCAGGTCTCAGCAGCCCAGAAAATCAGCCCACCATATCTCCCTAGTGATGCTACTAACTGCAGTGACAGCTTTAAAAACCAGTCAAACTCTTAAATACAATTTTTCATTACTTTCTCAGTTAATTATCAGTAAAGCAAACCATACTGTGGAATGAGAGGGGAAAGTAAAGAGGAAAGCAAACCCGAAGGAGGAGCACAACTGAGTTCCTCCATGAGTGGGAAACAGCTCCCCCACCATTTCTGGCCAGCCCAATGCTCTCTCTGAACCATTCAGACCCAGCTCACGGATCTTCTCTCCCCCACTCCCTTTCCCAGCACATCTGCTGACAAACCTTGGAAAAAACATAACACGGGTTTGCAGTGACACCATTGTCTCAGGGGGGGCTGCCTGAGCTGGGAGGGAATCAAGGTGTGATAATAAGACAAATGGTGTCTACAGCCACAGAAGCAGAAAAGGGTGGAATAATCACCGTAGCCTCCCTGCTTGTGGATGCAGCAGAGCTGCCCAGCTCTGGGACAGGGTAAATTCAGGATTTCAGGGCTGCAGTTTTTCTGAGATGAGCAGAGGGAATACAGCAAATCAGGCTGGTTTGATGATTTAGTTGATTATACTGCACATTGCATAATCATGCAGGGATTTTTGTGATTAGTTTTAAACTAAATGTCTCTCTGAGGGATAGTAATATGAGGATGAAACTTATGCATTTAGTGGAATATATATATATATATACACATATATATATATACACACAGTGTAGGTGTAAAGCATTAAGACACTTAAAACCAGCTTCCAGAATTGCAATATGCAGTACATTAAAATAACTAAAGGAGTAAAATTTAAAGGGGAATTCATTAATGTATGAAATAGAAAATATTACATTAAACAATTTCAGCTAGTTCAGAATAAAAGTTACTGTAATAATGGTATCTTACACCACAGAGGGCTGCAAAGTCCAGCTTGCCTTTGCTGCTGTTTCAAGCACTCATTTATTTCCAAACCACGAGGAGAAATTATCTTACCTGCTGGAAAAATAGACATTCCCACAAACACAAGAGCTTGGGATGTAAGCTTTGGCAGATAAAGATTTTAACACTGACTTTATCAGTTACAGCAAAAACTCACATAGGCAAAGAATGTGATATTTAAGTTGCACCTGAGCCCTCCAAGTAATACATACACTCCCCAAAAAAACAAATCCTTCATGGGCTTTGCTTCACTGAGCTTATTTTTAATGCTTAAGAGTTACATCTCCAGTAAGCTCCATCTTTCATTTCCCCTTGTTTTACTTCAGCCTTACCTTCTCTCTGAAGGTTCACACTTTACATGAAAAGAGCCAACCAGAACTAAGCAGTGTTTTAACTCCTAAGACACAGTGAGGTATTTATTGCTACATGTGCTGTCAGACTGTGTCTGACAGGCAGAGAGGAGGGGGATTTGCACTGGTGTAATCAAGGTTTAAAAAAAAAAGGTGTTTATCGGGCAAAAGTTGACACAAAATAACTGTAACTAGCACAGAATAATGTTTCTTGCATCAAAACATAAAAAAAAATTATTCTGAACACAACCAGCCCATGTGAAATTGTGCCAAATCAGACAACTTGGTCTTTGCCCAAATACTCTGGAGAAAGCAAGCAGAGAGGGCTTGGACATAACATTTCTTTCAAAGTAAGAGCCGATGACTCACACATGCAGATTTACTCTCAATGTATCTTTTGAGCCACCAAACACAAAAGCCTAACAGAAGTTCTGGTTTAAAGCGACAAACAGGTTCTAACAGCAGGTAGAAAGTCAGTGTGAAGGGGGCAGCAACACCCTTGTTTTCCCTCTGGAAAACAGCAGCTGGCCCCTAACCTCCAGCCAGCCCCAAAGCAATGATGAATCACCATCTTCCTGTAGTGCTTAAAGTTTTGTTTTAAACAGGTTGGATGGGAGCTCTGGAATATGAATAATTATGATCACATGAATCAGTTCTCACACACCATATGATTACTCTTTGAGAAAAAAAAAAAAAAAAATCTGTTTAGAATTAAAAATGTGACAGTTCCTGGCAACAGAAGAATGCTTTTTCTTGTCAGGAACTGCATTTTGGGGAACAGAGGGTTCTAGTACTGCACAGCATCACTTATCTATATAGCACTGCCTGGAGCCATCACAGGAGCCCAGGGACTGCTTGAAGGCCTGAAGAATACGGGAAGAAATGTCAGCTTCGCCTCCTTAAAGAAGGGCACAACAACCAATTTTATTAAGTGTAAACAAACTGAATACTGTGGACAGTACTGCAATATTCAAGTTAATCAGACACACAGACAAACTCCTCACTTCTTTACAAAGGAAAACAGCACACATCAGAAGGGGATCATATGCACTACACATTTTATTAAAAATGCAATTGTACTTAACTTTATATCAAACAGTTTTAGCATATGAAACCAAAATGATGGACCAACACACATGTTACCAACATGCAGGATCTGTACCAAATCACACAGGATTATTACAAGGAACAAGGCCACCTGGGATCTGATGCAGCCCAAATCTCTCAGTTCCTTTGGGAGAGGGAATCAGAGCCGGCCCCTTGCTCCCCGCTGAGCAGCCCTTTCCACAGAACAGTTTTCTAGGTTCAGATGAACTGCCCCATCCCAGCCTCCCTTCCTGCCACACTGCTATCCTTGCCTTGTTCCCCAGAGCTCCTCTACTCCTTCCTCTGTTCTTTCTGATTCAAACCCACCATCGTTCCTCTCTACCCATTCCTGAACTTCTCAGTAAGTCCTTAAATGCTCCACAATGCATCTCTAATGCATCAGCTCAGGAACAGCTTGGCTTAGTCAGAATAGGAGCAAACAAATCCAAACATCTTAGACAAGAGAGCTGTGAACAGCTACATTCACAAAGGGAGGTTGAGGAAACCCATAAGAGTAGCTCCACATTATCTCTCCTGGTGCTTCTTCAGATCTGCTTCTCCCGAAAGTCAAATGCTTTAAGCTTAGCCCAGCAGCAACAGCCAAGACACAAAACTGCCTTTAATTTTCTGTGTGTGCAGAGAATTTTTCAGTATCAAGGGGCTGACCTAGAGAAGTATATGGGTTACTAAGACAGAACTGTTAATTACCAATACTATTTTAGTCCCTTGGACTCACCAGAGCATTACAAGTAAAGCCTGAGTCACTGTAGTTATTAAATACCTTTGGTTAGCTGCTGCTCCTGTCCTAAGTCTCAGGGTTCATGCTACAGCAGCAGGCCTGACATCTTCTGAAGAAATTCAACTCAATATGCTTGAGAGCAGGGTATTGGTGGCATCTGCATAGCCATTACTTAAATCATCCTATCAAGGATTTATCTCCTCTTGCTGCTTATCTGGAGCCTTTATTAGAAAAGGATGAATTAAAATTATTTGGAATTAGCATCAAGATTGCTGTCACATTTTAGTAACAAGAATCAGCATGCACAGCATTTCAGTTCTGAGACCATAAAGTTCTGCAAGAGCACACTGAGCCAAGCAGCAGGCAAGCTCAGTTTGTACTCCAGCACAGAGGGATGCTGCAGGAGGAGGGCTGAGTGCTCTGCCTGCCCCACACAGCCAGAGCAGAAGTTAAGTCCCATTCCTTGTGCCCTGCATTAACCTTTGAGCTGCTTCAGGGCAAGGAGACTCCCACAGCTTTTCTGTGAAGTCCCTCGGGGCACACGAACGAAGTACAGAACTCACATTTGCTGCTTTCACTGCAGGCATTTCCTCCCTTCTGCTGTGTCATATTCCCCCTCTTTGAAGCTCAATCAATTTCCATGATCCCCAAGGGTCCACAGGAGCATAACAATCCCATTTCTGAACACAATGCACAGCCCACGGTGCTGTCAATCACAGTTTAAAGACTTCCCTTCTCCACTTCAGGGCAAAACCTTACAAAATGCTTTAATGTATCTACCGAGTTATGTTAGTTACTGTTTCTTTGGAGAACATACTGAACTGGCTATAAAGTCACTATACACTAGTCAGGTACTTTAAATACAATGCTTGAAAACCAGTAAAATAAAAAGAACTAATTGATAAGAAAAGAAAAAGCAAGAACATCCATAATTTTATTACAAAAACACCCAGCAACTGTATTAACACAAAAACAGTAACTGAGAGTCTCTTTTTATTTTACTTTCAGTGTACATGCTCATAATTATTCCATTTAATTTACAGAAGGGCTATGTAAAATGAAATTAAAATTAGAGAGGAAACAAAAAGGAAGATTGAGGCATAGAATTTTCTTAGCAAGCAACGATCACAGGAGACAGCACAGATTGAACAGGGATTCAACAGGAGTGACACCTAGGGATAAAGGTAAACAGTAACTTTTTCCTTATCCATTAGATTCTCCATGGGGCTTTTTTGTTTGTTTTAGCAAAACAGTTTAGAGTATCACAGTATACAGGAAGACTAAATGGCAAAGAACGTCTCACACACACACACACATTTATCCCTGCTACTGGTCCAGGATCCAAAACTTCAGTTAACATTCGATTTCCTATCTCTCATTCATTGATAAACTATACAGGATTACACTGTACATGGAGTTAAAATTACAAAAATGTCATATTTACAAAAATCTGTACACACATAGTAAAACTCACAAAATTGTCATCTATGTATCACAAGTTGCGACACCAAAATATTAAAAATGGGATAAAATTATACATTTCTCTTGTCCATTTTTAAAAAGGGTTCATTATTTCAAAGACAGACCACCTATTTCTCCCAAATAAGACTGGTAAGAGAACTAGAAACCTAAAGTATCCTCCTGGGATAAAATGTCGCGAGCAGCATCTCCCAACTAGAAAGAAGCCTATATCCTGTCTGCTGGGGTGGGGTGTGCAGTTAGCATATATGTACAGAAATGGTGAAACTACATCGAGGATGTCTTTGGCTAAACCTTTGGCATAAATTAAAATCACACATCAAAAGTTACAGAAAAGGTTATCTTGGTGATGGCGGAATTCCAGAATTTCTTTCTGAGATACCATTATATACAGCTTTCCTTTCTCTGAGGAAATAGAGTAGGAATAAAGGATTTTGGAACAGAGGCAAATGAGGCAACATTATTTCTTCGTTAAATTTTTCACTAGTATGAAAAATTGTATCAAATCTTTTCATTAAAACATAATTCAATCCTAGAAATAACCCCTTCCAGAAGTTGGTTTTTTTTTTTTTCTTTCAAAATTGCATATGAAAAAAAATTAGTAAACCAGCCATGACAGAAAAAAATTGTATCAGCATATCAAGTACATATTAGTGCAGGAAGGTGGATAAATTTGATCCACTGTATAAATAAGCTTTATGCGCAGTGTACATTAAATAACCACCACACCCCACTCACTCCCAGTACACAGATGCTCCTCAGTGAAGATAAACGTTTATCAAGTAATTAAAGTGTATGTAGTGCAAATGTTACAACCAAGTATTATGCACATGCTACTTGCTTGGTTTAAAGTTACACAAAGATGTGGTGCCTGAAATCATGGACATATATACATCCTTGTCACACTTGGTACAATGTCCTAAGCCACAGAAATACCGAGGTGTTTAGATCTATATATATATACACACACGTTTTCTTAAAATGTGACCACCACATCAATACAGTAACACAAACAGACTAAAATCAATACCTGCTTCCAGATGCTCCAAGGCTCAGAAAGTTTGTGCTTCTAATTCTTGCAGTCATTACGTGCCCCTCTTCCATTTCCCCCTTCTGCCAGCTGAGAAGGAGGGACAGTCTCTTCAGGTCTGTGCTGCATAGGATGAGGGCAACGGAGAGGAATAAATGACGGCACAGGCACCCAAGCTGCTTTCCTCCATCAACAGTTCCATGCCCCATGATGAAGGGTTGAGAGAATTTCCTCTCCACACCGCTCCTGGGTGGAAAGGCTTCTTGAAAAAAAAAATAAAATCATAACGTGCTTTCCATATTATAAGTGGCAGCAAATCAAGGCACGCTGTACTAATTCTGTAGCATTGAGATTAGCTGACTTTGCAGGGGATGCTCACTGGGGAAGGTCCGACGTTCTCAACTGGCTGCTGGGCCGTGTGGGGCCATACAGAGTAACAGAAGCTATGTGATTATTCTGCATCACCTGCAAAAGCACAGCAGGGAAAAGGGATATTAAAAGAAGTGCTACACTAAACAAAATCGGAAGTATTAAAATGGTGAATACAGAAGTGATCTGCCTGAAGAGAGAAATTCCAACAACAAATGACAGCAACAAGCTCTTGGCTGGTTCCTAAAAACAGTCTCTTATATTTCCATGACAGGACACCATCTGCTCCAACCAGCCATGTGAATGTATCTGAATGTATCCTGCTAGCATGAGTTCCAGGTGACAAACCTGAAGTTTCAGCTTTAACATACAAATGTACAACCTCAGAGAGGAGGTTGCAAAGTTTCCTCCTTCTGCCAAGAGGCACTAAAATTATCCCACTCCCAAGCACAGGCTTTTATTGCGATAGGAAGTAAGAAGCCATTCATAAGTAATAGCAAATTCCTCTTCTTCCTATGCTCAGACAAGAATAAAAGGGGTTTTTTCCTAACCTCAAAGATCATTCGCTGCAGTCCAAAGCAAAAGGTTGACCCAAATGGGTTAGTGTTGTTCGGAGATGATGACCTGAACAGAAAAGAAGAGAAAAAAATTTTAAAATGGATATGTGAGGATCAGGAACATCTTAAGAAGGAATAACTACTTAGTAATGTAAGGTGAATTACAGCATCTTTATCATGGCTTTCATCAAAAGAAATCTACATTATGCAACACCATTGCTAGACCCCAAGTGAGCCAAAGGAAACTCTGCTTGATGCTGCAGAGCCATTAGTAACACTTGGGAATAAAGTAATCAAAAAGCCATGAGTGACCTCTACAGGAAAACTCTCCTGCACTTAACTTGAACAGGAAGAACCCTAAAAAACCCCAGATACACAGGAAGGGAGAAGCACCATGTTACTTACTACACATTATTTTTGTGCAAGATCCTTCCCTTTGTGTCTCAACCTCTATCATATGTATTTACTATACACAGTCTATTATTTATATTTACTATATACTATTAATCAACTGGATTTAGCATGTTAACAAGATTAGCCTATATGATGCTGAAATAGAATAATCCAAGTTTTATTAAACAGTATTTTTCAAGATCTATATACCATGTATATACCATTGTCTTCCAGTTATTTCTGGTATTTTTGGATTGTACATTGACAATTCCTGTTGACTGCAATGATTTTTTGATTACAGCCAAAAAAAAAACCCTAATGAATATTTACCTTTTGTCCTTTCTTGTAAACTGGTCAGTTTTTCAAATTGCATGTCTGAGCCATTTGAGATGTGCTCAGTAAAGCGCTCTCTGGTTGAACTACTCTCTACAACACAGATGGAAAAAATAGAAGGGCTCTATGTCATCACTATTTCACCTTAGCTTTACTTCATTCACATGGCTTCTGCTCTAATCATCTCACTGGCATAACACAGGAGTAAAGGGGAACAAAAGGCACAATGATTAAGAGGGGGGAAAAAAGAAAAAAAAAATCAAAGTCAAAATCACGTGAAAGTCTGATAAAAATACATTAATTTATCTGAAATTGCTGTGGTATTTGCACAGTACCCATCACTTACACTTGCCCTGAGATAAAAATCATGGTTTCACATCATAAAATGGTAACTCTGCAAACAGGTAATGCCCATTTAACCCACTATCCACCTCAATGTCTGCAGAAACACAGCAAATTTAAGGGCCATTCTATCTTCAGTCAGCCTAAAGGAACTGTAGAACCATGTATGTTCAAAAAAGACAAGCTTCTTCAGACAGATTGCTGTTATATATGTTACCATATATTTATATATGCCATGATATATAATGTCATGTTGTTGAAATAATTTATAAAAAGGGTAAAAGCTCTACACTACTTATTACTCATAAGGAAAGAGACTTTATAATGCACTATTTTCTCTGAGATCTTCTCTGGATTTTGCATTTCAAGGAATTTTGGAAATGCTTTCCCTCAGCATGTCAGTTTATTTCCTCTGAGAGCAGCTATCTTGTATTGTCAGTGGCCAAAAAAACCTGAAACTTTAACCAGTAAAGCAGTACAAAAGTATCCCGTGCCATAAACACTCTTCCTCATCCTCTGTTGTCAGCCCAATCCTTGCCAAGCAAAATAAAGAGAGATTTTTACCTGTGAAGTACCACTGGCTTCTCTACAGGGTGCCCCAGTAGATCCTGAATACTGTCCCACTGTAAATACATCAATGAATTTATGTTAAATGAGGCACAAGAAAACTCTGCTTTTTATCTAGGAAGAGTGCCGTGCACATTTGTTTGTGACAAACCTATTTGTCGAATAAACCTGAGGTTGCATTTACAGTAGCATTTTGTGACTGGAACAATACTCAGTAATGGAACTATCCATTGCTAAGGCTAGTAAATTCTCTTAAGGTATATTCTCATTTTTGTCTAAAAATAGTTTGGAATTAGAAATATTCATATAAAAATTTCTACGGGTCTTCTGTATAAAATGTAGCTGGAAAGTCTTGTGGCATTTTAGGGGCACCTCAGAGACCAAAGCAGCTGTGGGAAATTTCAACAGAATATCCTCTTACATAACCTTAGCAGAGAGGAAAAACAGTCCCACTGCTACCTCTCCCAGAAGTCTTTCCTTGATTTAGGCAACAATACTGGAGGAGAGGAAAGCTGCACTATTTAATGACTTGGGAGCATCCAACAGTTTTTCTCGCTTTAACCAGACTCCAAGAAGCTGCAGGTTCACATACAAGACTGACGTAAGTCTAAGCACTGAAGGGAGTTAATTCAAATCAGAAGGCTTAGAATAGCATCTTCCAGACTGCTGAATCAAATTTTTCTTCCCAGTATGGGACCCAAATGAGGGCTAAAGGAAAGCCCTCATTTAGCATCCCAGGAACCAAAAGGGCAGCACTGACCCTGGCTGAATGTTGGCTGCAGAGACACCAATGAACAGTTTTTGGGAAGTTTTTCAACTTAATGCAGCTGTCAAATATACAGCAGCAACTGCCCAGCTGGGAAGCTCATTTAGGTGGTAAGGCTGTAGAGTCTTCAAGGAGTCTGCTGGCATCAGGTGGTGTCACACTGGCAGTGACATTTTTGAAAGGCTGCTGCCTAAGAAACATCCCATTACTGGTGCCCTTCAGAAGAAAGTGGAAGGGCATTGAACTCTTGTTAAACGTCTTCAAGAGCTATGTTTAGTACAATAGCTCTGTGAGAATTTTTTTTAGGAACATGTCTCCAGCTAACATTCAGCCACCACTGCTGTTGTTTTCCCCTATCACTTATTTCACTATTTCTACCTGCAGCTGTGTTGAAATAAATGCAAGCCATGCCATAATGTAGTAATTTAGTTTACTTGAAGTGTGCTATTATGAATGAATTCAACCTTTTAACACACCAAAATATTTCAAACACAAGATATACACTAACTTTTGGCCTTCTACTGTTCCACTTTAAAACAACATGATACCACTGCCATAATTTCTTTGAAGTGTATTGTAAAGTTGGCATGAATCATTTAGACGGTTTAAGAAAATGAGGTAAACAGTTCTGCACAGGCTTACCTTGCTGTATGTTGTACATGTTTCTGTCTGTGAATCAGCACTATCTATGAAGCGAAAACAGAAAAGCTTTTTATAGCTTAAGCTTGAACAGTCCCCTACATAATCCTTTATTCTGGCATGTTCATTCAGATAGCAGGAGACACAGGAGCATTAGATCAGGACATATACAAATTTACCAGCATTCACTAGCAATCAGAATTGTCAGTAACACTGACTAAACACCAGTTAAGCATTAAAGCAAATCTCCCTATTTACAGCAAGTCCCAACTTTAAGGTTATAAAGGCTTAAGCTTTAATCTTAGATGGAAGAACATCACTGCAAAAGAATCTCCATCTCTTTGCACTAAGCTAACGGTCCTAGCACAGCCACTTGAGGAGGTAACATGATGTGCCACTCACTAAGTCCAAAACACTCCACTGCACTTGGAAGGAAAGCTGGCTAAAACTGACACCTGGAGACTCAGGAGCTGGCAGGCCCGAAATCAGTTAAAAATACTGCTCTTCCAGAATAAAGATGGCTGAGAATCACAGCCTACCTATTAAATAATAAAAGGACAGCACTGCATTTACAATTACAGCCTTTAAACAGAAACTGTTTGCTGGTGGTTTCAAGTACTTTCATACATATCTTACACACTGAAAGCACATTCCCAAAGCAGTGGCAATGGACCTAGACACTGAAAACATCAAACATAGCCTTCAGTCAAGTGTAAGACCATTTGCTCCTCTGTATTATTAGCTCTCTAAACATGCTCTCTTTGTGCTGAGAGTTCAGTGTCTATGCAACTTGAACTCTGGCTCTTAATTTATCATCTGAACTTGAACCACAAAAGGGAACTAATAAAACTGCATCAGGCACTGCCACTAGAGGGAAGAAGATGGGCTATTCAAAACTGTTATAGCATCTGTTCACAATGTGTTACATGTCCTGGACATAAGCTAGAGGCCAGAAAAGCTAATAGAAATTTTGGTTAGAAATGCCAAATAAACAAACAAAACAGACACATTAAGAATAAATTCATAATGCTACTTAAGGTAAATTAAATTAATCACAAATTAATGCTTTGAAGTACAATAACCTAAGGGAAAATAATTTTAGAAGCAAGAATTTTCATGCTCATTCTCTTGGCTAAAGTGCAAATCAACTTTCATGTAAGCCTATATATACAAACATTGTTTTTCCAGGTTTTTAATCCTCCATATGCTCAAACTGCTGTGACAGCCACAGGAGGACTGCACTTCACACAGCAAAGTGCTTGCAGTAAATACCAATCAGAATGAGGAAAACATCCCTGGCCAAAACCTAGGCAGCATCTGGCATTCCCAGGATAACCCAAATACCTTCCCAGTACACATTTTTTCTTATGTTGAAGTCTACTTCAATCACTGTGACCTTCAGACAGGGTTCCCCTACTTTGCTGAGGTTAGTTACATGCACAGAGCTGAGAATATCTTAGTACTTTGCCAAACCAGCACTACTGATTATAGATTTATTTTTTCAAGTAGAGATTTTCAGGTGAACACAGACAGACTTAGTCTGTAGTATATTGTGGATGCTTATTCTCATTCCCAGATAAACCAGACTATATTAAATACCAGTGGACTGGTGATGAGCTCAGACTAACACTATCTAACAGATTTTGAGCCTCCAGGTACAAGGTACTTGACTTTAGCAGAGCAGTAGCATTACAGGGTATTATGACGTTGCAGCTAAATATTTGTGATCCAAATAAGTGAAGAGGTAGTGTAAGTAAAATCAGAGATTACTGCTACCTTGCCCTGAAGTGTCTTTTCCACTTAAATAGAAACCTAATGCCAACATTTCTTCTCTGTCTCAATGACAGTCACTGTTAGCATGCTCTGAGAACACAGGACAGTTAGAGACAAGAACTAATCCCAGCTACCCTTGGAGCTTTCTGTGCCCCCTGAAGCAGGACAACAGGGAAATGCTCACCTCTCTTAATGATGAGTGGAATCTTGAATTCACAGCGATGGTAACTAGAAAGTCAAATCGTAAAGCTATTAGAAAACAGAGAAGCCAAGATAAACTGCACAGCCACAGACTTACAGCTCTTAATAATCCCTTTAGGGAAAAGTCACATCAATAATAAAATGAAAGTGAGAATCTATGATAGCAGATTAAGTTCTCACTTAAATTTTCCACATCAAAAAAGGCAGCAGCCTGGGAATGTCCTAATACCATTTTCTAGAGGACACAAGATGTTCTTCAGCACAAATTACTCTATTGTTACACAGAGTGAATGGAGAAATATTTAGCTATGAAATAGACCTACAGATTTCTCTGTCACTAACTGCTTTAATCAGACATTCAATCACTAACTCATACTCCTCCTCTAAAGAGTTTACACTTAGAAAGTATTGAAAACATGTTCAGAAGCATGAATTTTTTTTATCACTGACAGAAATCACGTTAGGGAAACATCAGCAACATACCTACGATTAAATTGGCACCCTTGCTAATACAAAGTTTGACTCTATCAGGAGTTTGCACATCATACCTGGACCAAGAACTATCTTACCTCATTCACTGCTTTAAGACATCCTTGCCAGTACATATAAAGGCATTTAAAAATAAAAGGAAAATACTACCAATACTACTAAAACAATGTTAGTAATGAAGTCTGAAACCTCCACAGGTTACTAGATACACCAAAGAGACTTATGAAAAATTATTGTAATTCTATAAGAGATCATAAGATTTCCTTTTCAGTTGTTTTCATGTACTCCTTAATAGATAAGTTCTGCACACTCACATGTTGAAGTTGTAATGACCAGGATAATTTGTATGCAGGACAAATTTTTTCACCTTGTGAGTGTTTGCATCAAATAGAATATCCTGTTGAAGACAAAAAAGACAGATGAAGCAATTTGGATAGAAGAAAGTGGCTTTCCCCAAACTAACCCTGGATTACTTAAAATAGCACCTGTATAGAGTGACGTATTTATCTCTCTGGAACTGAATCAAAGTATGAAAAGCAGTATTTAAAAATAAGACTATTTGTAAATTCAAATAACACATTTCCTCCAGCACTCAATCACAACTGCAGCTTCATTTGCTAATGTTGGCAAGTTTTCTAAGGAGGTCTTGTTTTTCTGCATATTATTTACAATAATGTAGACTAAAGCAAAACAGCTGCAAGAAGGAACATGAAGATTTAACTACACCCCACAGCTCAACAAACTTTCACAAGTGATGTTATGGCACACCTGCCTCAGTTCTGTGAGACAGGAGCATGGATCTCAGGAACAAGAACTAGTTACCTATGCATCAGGCACAACAGAAAAAGGAGAGAATCTAAGAGACTGCAAAAGTGCAAAGAGCCCTCCATCCACTGGTGAAGATAAAATGCTGCTGATTTAATTTAAATGTGTAAGTGTTAAAGGAAAGTCAAGTGTAGCTTTTCATATCCAGAGATTCCTAAGGCAGCAATCACGAGTTCTGCAGCCTCTCATTTCCCACAGTCTTTAGCCTCCTGAAAAGATTGCTGTGTAACTAAATCAAAAGTTTACATGAATTGTTTAGGGAGGCTTTCCACTCACCACTCCAAGTGTGAAATAATTGAAGAAGTAGTCATTGCACTTTGATGGGACCTGCTTATGGGGCGAGGGCGAATGGATTTTCATCTGCAAGAAACACACTTTTCAGATGCATTCAATAATGCTCGAAGATGAATGCCTTTAATAGCGTCTCTACATTCAAACAAATTGCTATAATCTCATTTGAAGACTTTGTTTAACTGTGTAAGATAGTGTGCTTCATGACAGGACCATCACCTGCTTACAGCAGCAGAGTGACACATCAGCTTTTTCAGTTATCAGAATTAAAAGGCTTACTGACATGATGCTGTGTAAAAACATTAGGAAAAGATCAAAGTATATGCTGAGGTTATTTTACATACATTATAAGTGAAAAAAAATAGGCAGTACACACTTGCTAAGGTACATTTGGATATAAAAGTGCTCTCATTTGCAACATTTATTAAATCAGCTAACATTACGCAATTTGATTATTTTAATAAATGTATAAACAGATTTGCATGAATTTAGATTTTAAAAAAGCTTCTTAAAACCTATTATATAATGGTTCAGCCCAGTCTATTATGTGAAGTAATTTGTTGAGCACTTGTAATTTGTGCTACATGGCAGTTCAACTTCACTGGCCTTGCCAAACACAAGCACCATGATGAGACTGAGACACCAGTGAACAAAGTCTGTGCCTGAATGAATTCCCTCACCTTGTCTTCTGACTTGTAGAAGACTTTGTGTGGAGAGCCCAAGGTGCTGAGCACATCCTGGCAGGAATCACCGAAGTACACACAGCGTTCAAATACCCGCATCTTGGCATCGGCTAAAACACCTGGGCCACAGCCTGAGGAATGGAAAACAACTCTACATGCATCCTTCCTGATCACAGAATACATCAGTAAATCAACACCAAAAGGCTAGCATTCCTTTATTTATCACAAACCAAACACCTGCATTCCTCAGACAATAGTGCCAAACTAAATTTGACCATTTACTTTGCAAGGGTGTAAACATTTCTTATCAGAGCTGTGCATGTGCTGACTGTTGCACAGTTCCCCATTTTAAACTCCAATTTCAGCCATACTACCTTCACTTCCTTGCCATTCACATGGACTTGTCTTGGTTCCCCAGCCCATCTCAATTTGATCAGCTGGCTATTTGCAGTAAATACCAGGAATTATTTCAACCCCTAGAATACTCTACTTCATCAGCTAGAGATTTACCTCCACCTAAAAACGTCAAGTGCATAAAATAAAATCCCTCACCCACATTAACTGTATCACAAAATACACATTCTTTACTCAAGATTCCCATAACTTACTAAATCAATAGCAAGTACATCCCTGTGCAAACAACATTAAAACCAGATCTCATTGAATAGCCGTTACACAGATGAATTGCTGACATGTTACCAGATGTTAGGAAATGGAAAGATGCTGCAGTTGGTGAGCCCATTTGCTTGCAGGAATGCAGCATCTTACATTTACGAGAATGCAAGCACACATATGCAGCAGTTACTGCAAAACACAGGATGCTTTGCTTTCCTCACTATGCATTATTTATGTAGCCAGTTACCCACTAAAATAAATCAGAAAAATCCAGTTTGGTCATCCTTGATTTCTTAAATATCTTCAAATTAATACATAAGCAGAGAAATGTGTAATATGTTTTACAAGAGTTTCTACAAACTTTGCAAGAACAGCACATGTCCAGATTGCCTCTCTGCAAGTTTGTCTGAACATCAGTAATATTTTAATAATTATTTTATACATTGACATTTCCTTTAAGCCACAACAAAACTTTTTAACAAAACTTGACACTCTAAATGTCCAATTTCTCAAAATCATTTACATAATTATGATGCTATAGCTAACTCTTTCCCCAGTATATGAGGCTCTGTACCTCTGTGCCTTATTTTCCTCTGTAATAAGAGAAGCAAAGTGGCTTGAAAATACCTGCTCCTTTTTTTCTGGTAATTTTTTATTCTTCATCTATAATATTTTTTTTTAAACTTTTGCATATTGTGAATGTATTCCAAGTGTTTCCTCAATATACAGAGCTAGCAATCAGGACAGGTCAAAAGCTGAGTCTCCTACTTTCACCACTGTCTCCTACTGTAAATGAAAACAGAACTGAATTCAAAGTGCAGTTTAAGGCTGCAGCATTAACATAATCACTTGCTGGCATTTTTAAAAGTCTTCCAGATGTAATCACAAAAATATCAACATCATACAGCTCCCTGGAATCTCAGAAAATGTACACATTCACAAGGTTTCTTGGTTTGTAATCATTTTTTAGTGATGTACTGAGAACAGTGATCTGTTTTCTTCTATACATACACCTGGAAGCAAATTCCATTTCTGTAAACAGATTCTAAGGACTTGGAACATGAGGATTCCAGTTCTCGGTGATTTCTCCAGGGTTAGGAAAATGCAGCAGCAGGCAGGTTCATCTTCAAAAGGATTTAACTGGGTTTTGTTTGCAATAGTTCAAAACAAGGTAGATAGAACACTTTGAAATCATTATTAAATCATCAGAAATAACCTGTGCTTAGTTTACAAAGCTTTACCCCTCCTTTTCTGAGAACAACCAGGGTGATGTTCTGAGTGTCTCCAATACCTGCAGTGAGTAGGCGAAGCCGTAAACCTGAGGGTCCAGTTCCATCTCGCAGAACATCAACATTCTCAGCATACACATTCCCAAGGAAACAGCTGAGAGGCATCAAGGGAGCCCTGAAACCAATCATACAAAATGTGCACAGGATTTGCTTCACCTTCAAATTTTCCTGTAACAAGCTGGTATCAGTTCACTGGAACAGAGCACATTAATTTTAACAAAGCTACATGTAACTGAGACCGAAGATTAAAAGTTGTATTAAACAAAAGGATCAGAAAGTGTGGAGGAAAAGGAAGAGGAACAAGACAGAACCCAAATGCAAGATCTTTACCATTAATGAAAAAAACAGCAAGTTTCAAAGACTCCAGGAATTAAGGAATTACAGAAACTGTACCTAGCCTTTGCATATCTGCTATGAGGACACGTCAGCTCAGAGTTCTCTAAGGGAAAATGGAAGTTGTGGAGTTTTTAGAGCTAACTAAGTCCTTGAACTAGGCCTATCACCCAAATGCAGCAGAAGAGCCTTCTCCGTGAGGCTCTCGCTACTCTTGGGAAGGTACTGCATAGGCCAGAACATGAAATCAGTTTGTGCAGGTACACCAAAGGCAACTTGGTGCTGCTTTACTGGGAAAGTTCTCAATTTAATTCAACAACAGTATTATTTTAAAAAATAGTTACAGTCCCAAGTGAGATATTTTTAATGGAAAGACATATTTTCTGTGTATCACCTTGCTCCCTAAAGTTCCCTCTTCTTACGTTCCTCCTCTGGGTGAATGACAAGCTAAAAGTTGGGCTTTGAGCTCTCTCTCAGACACACCACAGAGCCCCATGCAACAATCAGCGCTTTCACTAAAGCTCACCATGTCACAGATGGGCACAGACAACAGCACTTTTCTCAAGAGCACTTCTTTCTAATTAAGAGACAATGTCTGCATAAACAAGCCTCCCTCCCTTCTGAGAAGTAATCCAAGGATGCGTTTATCTCCTGGCCTTAAAACTCCACTGTCTCTGCAAAATACTGGTTTTTCAGTTTGGGTATTTCTAAGATTAGTTATCTCAGAATCCTACAACGGTTTGGCTTGGAAGGAACCTTAAAGATCACCTAATTCCAGCCCCTCTGCCATGGGCAGGGACTCCTTCCACTAGGCTAGGTTACTCAAAGCCCCATCCAGCCTGGCTTTTAAGACAGTAAGCTCAGTCAGGTATCTGCAAATACATTGAACATATGGTAGATTATGCATATGGCATATTTTATTAATTTTGTTTAGCAAGGGAGTTTAAGACCCTTGATAGGACCCATATATATGCCATAATAGGACATACATATTATCAATATGCTGCAAGCTTACTGACTGCCTACACCAAATTTGATCTGCTTAGGAAGAGGTCATCAGCACAAACAAAATCTACAGGAAGAATAGCCTAAACATGTGTTACTAAATTCAGTGTTCCCTGCTTAAATTAATTCATTTTCAGGTCAATTGAACTTGCCTACTGCAGCTGAACCAAGCTCATACAGCTCAACAGCAACATAAATCAAACCAACATTTGATTACAAGGTCTGAGGACAACACCTACAGAAATCTGACGGCAGTTGGTATCTAAAAGCATTCTGCACATTACTAAATTAATAGAAGACCCAAACTGAACTAAGAAAACACATGATTCTATTTAGCAATGGCAAAGCACTAAAATGATGGAAAGAGCACGAGCAGCTGTACATACTTGGTGTCCTGCAGACTGTTTCCATTGTAGATGTACATGCGTTTCACAGTCGCGCCATGTGGAATTTGCAGAGAGGCCAGACCGTGGGCAAAGTTAGGCTGTGGAAACACAAAATCATTCTTCTTACACAACACAGCAGACACTTCAGCTTAAGCTCAGAAACTGCTTTAGAGATGCTTACCAATTCAAGTCTCCAACAGAAGACAAGGGGACAAAATAACAGTAAAACCCAGCCTTCAAGGTGGTGTTTCTTTATATTCCACCACTCCTGGGTTCCTGAGCAGGGGTGAAACACTCACTATGTTTATTCATCAAAAGATGCCATTACTCTGACAATCAGCCATCGTGTGTACTGAGAATTCAAGTTTTTCCTTGGTTTGATCACTGGCAGCTAGCAATTTCCAAGTATTTGTACTGATACGCTGTATTAAAGGTCTAAGAAATCATCTGTCTTAAAGGAAAACTTCTGGTTTTTGTCTCCCAATGCATTAATTTCAGCCTTTTAACATTTTTGCTGGTTTCAAAGATGCCTTATCTGATGAACAGAAACTTGTGCATTAAATAGATTTTTTGCTCTCCTAATCACCACATTCTTACACATGCTGTTTTGACAGGGATTTGAATGCTCTCATCAAGTAGAAAGCATGCTAAGGAAGTCAGATTGACTCTTACTGCACTAGAAGAAGGAATTTCTTTCAATTCTGAATGTGACAGGACATTCAAGACCAATAACATACTTTGCTGTCACCAGACAGAAAAAACCCTATCTTTGTCACAAGCAGCCAACAAAAACAAGATGCACAATATGCAAACTATTACCTGGTCTACTTTAGCAGGACATCACATAAGGTAAACACAAACACACAAAATTCTTTGGAAAAAAATTAACCTAGAACAATGACTTTTACTGCTGTAGGTTTTAAGAAGATTACCACCCCTAACTAGAAAATCTAGAGATGCCCCATTTTTAATTCTCTACCTGAATTTGCCTAGAACATTAATACTTTTTGCTTCTTAAGTAGTCAGGCTTCAGATTACTAAAGTAAGAAAAGGATTTCATGTTCTCCTCACTTGCAACTTGTTTCCAGCTATACAATAAACTCTAAACTTTTCTTCATAGTATTTCTATTTCCATAAGCAGAAGGTTGCACTGCTTTGCTAAGTAGCTTAGCATTCCTATATGATCTTCCCTGAACTTGCCAGATTTTGACACATTCAAATTCAACTTCACTCTGCCATCTTTTCTAATGTTCCTCTCTAAAATTATTTAGAGACAAGATTACTTGTCTTCCCTGTGGACTGTTTCACACTACTCTGTTTTCAAAACAATCCTACCTGTTCCTAGGGAGACTTTGGTATTACACTCTGTGCAAAGAACATTTTACTAACCTCACTAGAACAACTGAATGAGACACTATTGAGAATGCAAAATTACTTTCTCCACTGTTCTAACAGCTCTATTTTAACATCTTTTAGGTAGTCCTGCAAGGAGCAGGGACCTGGTCTCAGTGATCCCTACAGGTTCCTTCCAACTTGAGGTATTTTATGATCTTTTCAAATCTTTGATAAAACAATTGACTTCCTCAGCAGTTTGGCTATTTCATTCATCAATGCCCTGGGAACTCTTACATGAAAATAAACCATTCTTTGTTGGGGCATTCTTTTTGTTTAGTTTATTAGGTTTCTATTCACCTTCCAATCTGAAACCCAGCTGCCCTTCACTACTGCTAAACAATAACTTCCTCTGGTTACCCACTGTAACATGTCAACCATAAGCACTAAATCACATGACAAAGAACACGTGTCATCATGTTGGTTGATTTCTTCTTTGTTTTGGCTCTTTATTTGCTCCTTTATTTTAATACTTTTTAACTGGTAAATGCAGATTATACAACTGAGAGCATTTCCATCCCCACACAAAACAAGTTACACATAGATTTTTGTTAGTACAGAAGGAAACCACAGAGGACCTGATCCTGTTTCCACTTTAGATGGGGATTTCCAAAGATTTCAGAGAATGCAGTAATGCATTTAATTATTCAGTAACTCATCCAAACATTTGGTGAATATGCAAACAGGCATTACAAATAAAACTCATTCATTTGGCTTGCTAAAAGCACTCATACTGAAGGACACTTAAGATGAAAATGTATTTTATGAAGTCTATCCTACTTTAGTTGCATAATCACTTTGATGGGATTCAAAAATATCTGATAAAAGAACAGCCTCCCAGTAGATTGCTTAATATTTATGTATTTGCATAGACAGCACTGATATTTTTAGAAGACTCCTTTCACCAACAGAATTGCTAGTCCCAGTTCATGATGCAAGCAAAACCCCTAAGCATATGCCTTTTGTCAACAGGAAGTAAATTTTTAACTTTGAGATGGTTACATAGCATTAATAAGAACACAACTGAGAAGTTCAATTCCTTCCAAATTACTGGCTTTCATTTGCAAAAGACAACAGACACAATGTAGGTGATACTTGCAAATACCACAGAGGCAAAGAGACCATCCATAAACTAAGAATGATTGCTGACCTCGTACTTCGGGGTTTCAGTCCAGGAGTCTAACTGAAAAGAAAATGACAGTCCTCTGAAATTGAGGTGAAAGAGTTGCTCAGCTGAGTTATACACTAAAAGGGAAAAGAAAGTAAAAACAGAGTTACAAAAATAATCTAAGAATTCTCCAGTTCATATCTAACAGCATCTTCATCACCTCAATGAATTTGTTACATCTCTGAATGCAGGAGGAACACAATTACACTCGACCATAACAGCTTTGCTTTTAATTAGATGCAGTAAAAACACAGCAGTAAGAGAAACCATAGCTTCATTACAGTTGCCTCTGCAAGCCTGCAGGCACTAACCTATCCCTAACAATACAATTATACAACATGACATAATCATTATACCTTAATATCTCTAAAGTAGTTTAAATAGCCACTACTAGTTCAGAACAATTCTGTTCATTGTTACATAAAACATTGTACAGTATTAACCAGAAAGTCTTTGAGAAAGATGTACACAGAACACTGATAATCCCTCTTTCACACCATGGGCCAGCACAAACAGGAGCTCAAAGGAGGTTCACTCTGTGACCTGCACTTCCACCTCTCCTCCCAAGAGGAGCTCCTGTGCCCAGATCAGCTTCATATGTTCCCCGGCAACACGGCCCAAGGAGGAAATGCTTCAGACACACAGGTCCTAGACCATTTACAATGATAATTAAAAATAACATCACCAGAAACAGCAGCCAACCAGTCAGCTCCCACAAAGAGCACTAATAAATTAGAGCACACACAGACTTCCAGCTGTCACCACATCACGAGATGTCCTGATTCATTGCAATCAATTGCACAACATCAACTACAAACAACAGTAAATGTCATCCCAGTACTTATTCTAACAACCTACTGTTTTCTGAGACTGTGGAAAGATTAAAAAACAATCCCAGAAGACTGAGAGCTTGGGAACTGTTTTGGGATTGATTTTACAAACTTCAACCTGTGCCCTGTAGCCACTGGGGGAACAGAGTGTTCTAGTAACACACATGAGCTGACAGCTTGAAAACACCAGAGGATAAAAACAATAAAGAAACCCTCTAACAAGAGAGGCTACTTTCTTCCACTTTACTAAAGGAATACCAAAGGCTCAATATTCCCTTTTTTCTTACAATGTTATATTTAAAATGACATTGCATAGAGAAAATGCATATAAAGAAATGTTTTGTTCCCTCCCTCCCACAGTGTCTTTCAAATGCTCAACTTGAAAGACATATCACAAGGTATCTGGACAATGCCAGGCCACCCAGGATAGAAAAATAATAGTTGAACAATAAGCATTAAGCTTTCAAAAATCATCATCTGGCTTTTCTACAGAATGTGCTGGCTAAGACTCTTTTCCACGCTTGTCACTGAAAGGAAAACGTGTGGAGAGAGGGAAATGTTTTGATCGGCAGGAAAATTATACAAATCTCTCTCATGTGATAAATTATGATACATCTTTTCCAAAGCCCACAGCCAGCTGGAGAGCTATTTTTCCCCCAGTCATGCCAAGTGTGATATCTGATTATACAAATCGCATCATCTCCCATCCCCTGCAACGTTTGTTGATGCTTAGGTTTAAAGGGCAAGGAATTTTATTCTTGGGAAGTTCTCTCATGTCTCCCTCAAAACCATAGATCCCAACCACATGACTGAACAAGGTAAGGATTTTTTTTTTATTATTATTATTTATTTTTTTTTATCACACAACTACTCTGCTAATTCCATTCAAAATTGCCAATAGAAGCAAAAAGACTATGTCTTTGCTGCTGAGTGGGGGAAAGGGAGGAGGTTTGCCTTCCAGGAAGGCAGCAGAGTGTGATCAGCTGGGAAATATTTCTGTAGAGCTGACAGGACAACACAACCAACACCAACAAGGTTGCAAAATGGACATAGATTTGGTAAAAGCAAAGGCAAATCCAAAAGCCAATTCTTCCTGGTATCAAACACAAGACTTTTCTGGCACCTTAGGGGAGCCTGGGCCCCTGCTGAAATCCGAGAGTTAGAGAGCCAGAACACATCAACCCTCTCCATCCTTGCAAGGTCACTGTGGTAGGAGGGAAGGAGGACTTTTCTTCTACCTTGTGACTTGAGTTCAACCCCACATCCCTGATCCTTGCTGAACAGCACTTCGGCACAAAGCCACATCCATGAGGACTCAGGACAGGATGCGGTTTCAATAGATCCACTGGCAAAAGCAAGCCCTACCCAGCAGGAAGTCAGGTCACAGAATCATGGAAATGTGGGACAAAAAAATCTTGGCTTCAATGAAGCTGTTGACCTCCAAAGTGGTTGTATTTCAATAAACCCCATGACAAAGGTACTGCAATGTTTCAAACTAACAGTAGCCAAAAAGTAATGAAGCTGGTTGATTTTTCTGATGACTCTTCTTTTTTAAAACCACTGATCTGGCAAAACCAAAAATGCTCACTGAAGGTCAGTTTTAACACAAAACTGTTGCTAACCTTTTGATATTTATTTTGAAACTACCACTATATCCTGTTGCAGGAAAATTCTGTTGCAACCACCTTGGTTTTAAGTGAAAAACAACATTTTTAATGAAATTCTAGTGGAGGTTAACATAGACAAAAAACAAAATACATTTAAAGTGCCTGAAAGGGGGGTTTGGAGGAGTATTAGTACAGAGAAGTAAAGGGATGGTTATGTTCCTTTCATTCATGAAAACTAGCATTTGGTACTTTGGTCACATTCTTAATGGACCAAAGGAAGGTTTCTCCTCCCACCCCAGCTCCAATTTCTGTGGGACATTAAAACACCACCATCATCCCCCCACACATGATGAAAACCATTCTGGTTCTTCACCTTTTCCATTTCAGAAAACACAAAGGAAAAAAAGAGTTATCAAAAACTTCTGTTGCATAATACAGTTCAAACAGTTTGTGACAGGCAGCTTAATACAGAGCATTTACTCTTGCTAAGTAGGCTGTTAATGGAAGAAGTATTTTCCCAATGAGAAAACTTGAATAAGCAAATGCACTAGTGAAATGATAATAGAGACCAACATTTTAATAAATACATTTTCTTATCTACATGTCACTAGATGAAAAGATGTTATGAAAAACTATCACAAGATAAAGCAAGTGTGCAAGTTTTCTTAATTGAATAAGACAGGTGCACAAGATCTGCAAATTCAGCACAAGGACACGTGGTGCCAAACTATGTTTTTAAGTGCTTGCATATGATTTTATGCAGTAATAAAACATGCTATCACTTCCACAGGCAATGCTTATGGCTAGATATGTATTTTTACAGTTCATATTATGACAATTTTGGAAGTGCTCCACCTCTACATATTTGCAAATAAACCATCATCACAGAATAAATAAAAATGATAAATAACCCAGGACATGAAACCACTTTTACCCTTCTTTAGACTACAGCCTCTTGTACATACAACTTCCGTAATAGATCTAACCATAGATTTCAGAGCTTCTGTCTAAGAGGAACTGTTAATGTCAGGACCAAAATTTTAAAAAGCTAATTCTGGTCCTTGGAGTATTACAGCTAGAAATGCTCACAGCTTCATTTATCTCAATCTGATATTCATCAACTACTGCAGGCTTTTATGCAATGATACTGCTTTACCCACATGACCCGCCCCAGTTAATAATTCCTGTTCTGTAATGTGCAAGAGAGTGTCTGCAGAGAGCAGAGACAAAGGCTGGATATGCAATCACCATCCATCACAAAGAACACTCACCTGTTTTGGATCAGTCTGACTACTGCAAATGGACTGGCTTAGGTTAAAAATAGAAAATGAGGCTCTGAAAATGGTATCTTGACTATATGGAATTAATGTTCTTCCTTGTTGTGCCAGTTTGCGGCTCCATTTCTTGAAAGTTCCCGAGCTGTTTCATTATAAATATCCTCTTCGAAATTCCACCACTGGCTTATTTTCATAGCCTAACAACCCCCTGAAATACACTTTTCATTTTCATACACAAACAAGGAGCTTAAAGATAGTCTTTTTCCTGCTGCAGAGATGGTGAACAGCCAAGTGGCTGTGCAAGAGTCAGAGTGGGTTCAGCCAGGTTAAACAAACTTGTCCCGGTTCTGCTCCTGCTGCACGTAGACTTCACACCTCCCCAGTGCTCCCAGTACAGGAGGGGGGTTCAGGGAGGTGTAAGCCAGTTACACACAGCTCAGATTTGATCCTGCCTGGCAAGGACAGTCACAGAGCATGGAGACTGAGCAGACAGCCCTGGCTGACTCTGCACAGAGAGCAGCTCAAATGTCTGTGCTCATGGTATAGGCAATCCCTACGGATGCTTGAGAGCTGACCGTGCATAAGGACTTGTAACAACAGCACCAACAACAAAGCTCACAGTTTTCTGGTACTGGCAGTTCAAAATAGATCATTAATGACATCTGAATACACCACTCTGTGCCAGTGACTTCCTGCCTCACCATTTCACTTTAAAAAAGAGTCACAACTGAACTGACAATACATTTTACATGATTTCCCAGCTGCAAGAATATGACCATTCTGGAACCCAGCTCCAGATCATATGACAACAGAACTGCCTACACATTGCTCCAGGCAGACACACTGGAAAGGTTTCCTAGAAAGAAGTCTGTCAGGCTAGGTGTGCTTCTCAGAAATTTTTTGGCTTACCTCCTGGATGTGTTGCTCCAAATGACTGATCAATTTGTTCTATGGTTGGAGCAATTGCCTGAGAGTTAAAATGGACACCACTGAAAAAGAAAACAAAATTAATCTGCCTGAATGAAACCAAACAGATGCTACACACATTTACTAATGGCAATACCACATCTAAATTGTAAGAAGCCTCCAAGACTAAAGAGTAAACCAGTAATTTAACTGAGTACCCTGATCAAGAAAGGATGATTATACACACTCCTTTATGAAAGCTGGTTTTTATTTTTAAAATTAGTAATTGAAAAAATGAATTCAGAATTTAAAAAAATTAGTAAAACCAGACACCCTAACCAAGAGGAAATCATGAGAGGTCTTAAATCACTTACCAATATTTTAACTTCACCTTAGTCAAGTCATAAACTTCAATCACCTGAAACACCAGAAACAAAAACATTGGCATAGTTGAGACACTTGCAAATCATTACAGAGATAAATCCTTGTCAAAAGGCAAGACTAGCTAGTGCTGCTTGCTCCCCTTCTTACAGAACTCTGCCAAGATAAATCCCAGTATCAGAGATCAAACTTCAAAAACTGACTCAGCAACTGCACATCTGAAATAGGGACTGAACAACTCTGGGTTCAGGAGAGAATCCCCATATCCCATGTACATCGGTACCGCCTGCAGGAAGAAATACTGTCACTGACACATGAGTATCTTGATTTCTAGAGAGTTTACTCAAACTTTCAAAAGAAAGCAACAGCAAGGATTAGCTAATTAGGGAATCCTCTGATGAATGTCAGTGGGCCATTCCTTGGGTTGCTCCCACTACCCTGAAGAATTCCTGTGTAGGGCACAAAGTCCTAACACTGACTGCACTGCTGTAACTTTCCAGCTCTTCTAAAGTAAAAAATGAACACAGCAAGACTTAGAAGTAATTTATTAGAAGTAATATCCCATTTCAATTATACATAAGTTATTTTGCAACCTTGCCAAGCATTAGAGAAGACAATCAGAAGAGCAGCCCATGAGGGATCAGGGCAAGCCATAATACCCAGTTCTAAATGTTTAAGACCTTACTGAATATTCCAATGAGCTTCCCCCTCTGCAGAAAATATTAGATACAGATCCCTTGTTCTGAATACATTACTGCAAACATGCATCTAGGACTGATGTCAAATGATTTTTATCACTGTCACTGGATTTTGAGGCTATACTGGGCTTTAAGCAGATGACTTTTGGCAAGTAGCCATGGACAAACACAAGCCTCTTCCACCCTATATACGTGTTCCTATGTCAGCAGGAAAACACGTACAGCTCATAACTGCTGCAAAGCAAAGGTAAAACACATCTTTTGTTCTGTGTAAACCTCCAAAAAAATCACTGGCAGATTCTGACAGGATGTGCTCTCCAGCAAGAGAATAAAGCAGAATTTCCCAGGGAGCTTGCTACCAAGTGTGGCTTTAAAGCCTAAAAATATCACCAGCTGAGAAGGAAGTCTTGGTTTTGGGAGATGCCCAGCAAATAACCCTAAAATAAAACAACTTGCAATGTTTAAACCACTACCTCCATATATATTTAGAAAAAAAAAATTAAATCAACATTTAATGGCATTTCAGAATACAAGCAACAAGTAGGGCACAAAGCAAGTAACAAATTAACATTTTGGCAGAACCAGCAAGAGAACAAACATTTTCCTTCTTAATAAAATACACTTGGAATTATGCTTCTTGGAAAAACCTAGTTATCTAGTATTTTAATTCACGTGCAGTTGACATGTCCAGATTTCCTTTCCTGTTAAAGCCTATTAAAACACAATGGCTACTTTCATGAAAAGCTAGGACTGATTTTACTTTTTTTTTAGTCCTCTTGCACATCTTTTCCCTCCACAATTTTTTTTTTCTGAAAATAGAGAGAACCAGCCACACCCCAGATCTTGTTTTGCAGCCACTACTGTGTGCACTGGGCACCCTCCTGAAGTTCTGCTGAAACTGCACGGTGCAAGACAAAAGGATGAGCTGAACAACCAGGAGCAGTGCACAAAGAATTGCAATGGCACAAATGTGGTTCCCCCCGAGAGAAACACCCTGACAGCAGCCAACAGGCACCCATTTGCCAACAGTCCTTGTCCCATGACTCAAACAGATCAACTCAGGTCAACATTTCTTTTTACCAACAGAGGGATAAATGAGTGCAAGTTAGCAAAAAATAATGGCAAAGGATTTCATAAGTCACGAAAGTCATAATGAAGAATAGGCCAGGGCACTTGAAAAAAATTCTTTTCTAAATTACAGCAACTACACTGACAAAGAATCAGTGTGATTCTATGTGCAGAGAAGATTAACTGAGAAGTGAATGGTGAAACCATTCAGTGAATGGTTTACTACACAGTCAGAAGACACTTGATTTAAATGAGTAAAAGTTGATGTTTCCTCACATTCACTGCTTTGATAATTACTACTAAGACTTAAAAAAATGTTCTGCTATTACCAGCAATAACAAACCAATGCTGTGAAACCCAACTCTTTCTCCACCTCAGAGAGAGCACACGTGAGATGTGTGCTAAATTAATGCTAAATGCTTAATGCTAAAATTGCTTTTAGAACCTGGTCCTGGATCTACCGATTCACATCACCAACATCTCCTGCAATGCTTTGTCTACCAAAGGTGAGTCTTTCCTCCTTCTCCCTGAAAAAAGGGAGGAACCTTCTTAAGAATATTGCTGACTTTATTCCTGCACCAGCTTCCTTGGAATTGTCAAGATTTTCCATCTTAGTAGCCTGTATTTCAATCTCTTCCACAGTCAAATTTATTAGCAAGTGTGTGTTAAAGAAAAACAACACACAAAGAGAATAAAGGCCTCCTGATTTTTCCAGTTTTGCTGCTGCTGAGCAACACTGAAAACACAAAGCCACACTATCTTAAAAACAGGCATTACTTACATCACACCTACTATATCCTTTAACAAGTCCTGTTGCTTACTTCTGAACTGATCCCATCGAATTTCTTCTAGAAAGCTTTCTGGACACTTATACCAATACAAGTTTTCATAGTACTGTATGCATTTACAAAGCTTGACTATTCTTACTTCAAACAAACAGACAGAAGTATCACCAGACCACTGAACCACAAAAAAACAGAAGAGATTGTTTTCCCTTAGCTTTAGTAAAAGCTTTGTGTACTCTCTGTGCCACTTGCGACAAGATGGACAAGTGAAACCACATTGCACCATCACACTGCTGGGGCACTTGTATGTCCCCAGAATACAGGTAAGATGTCTTCCTTCCATAAACAAAAATTTATATCCCAAATTGAAGAAATGCAGTTCATAATCACAAGAGAGCACTCTACATAAGACAAATTAAATGTCTAAAGGAGCCACATACTTATGCTCTGTTAAGTGTCAATACATCCCAGGGTTTTGGTGTGCATTGTCCCTTTGCAGGAGAAGTGTTTTATTACCTTAAGTCTCTGATTGAAAGCATCAAACAGCAGTTTGATTCCATCCTGAGTCAGGTTAAGGATGAGGTCATGGCTAAGAGGTGACTGTAAAACAAAAAAGTAAAAGGTGTTAGGCTTTTAACTTCAAGACCTCTTTGTTAAGATAAACATCACTGGAAAAGTATAAATTAGTTACTTTAGAAAAACAAAGCTACCTCAGAAAACAATCACTTGTCCAATGAATAAGCATAACTAAAATACACTTGGCAAAAACTCTCAACCTCTTCAATCTCCTTATGAAAAGAAATAGAAATGCCTGCACAATATCTGTACCCTGCAAAAACTCCTAAAAGGTTACTTTGTCCATTACTGTATGTGGGGGAGAAAACAAAAAACAAAACTCAAAACAATATAACCCCAACCCCATTAAAAAAACCAGAAAAAACAGAAACCAAAAAACCCCACCCTGAAAATTACCATTCCCAGTTTAGCATCAGACACATCATCTAGGGACAGCCTCTGGTGCATTCTTAGTGCACAAAAATACCAAGTCTCACATCAGAACCAGGCATGTGCTTGACAAAGAGATGGCTTTCCACTTCAAAAATCAAACTGTCAGTGTTTTTTAGGCCTCAAAAGGAAGGCTTCAGACTCTCATGTTGTGAATTTACGTTTCCTTAGTTACTGTGAATCATAACAACTAAAGGCTTAATTTGCAGTCTGCTGGAGTCAATAGGAGACATTCCATGGCTTTCCTAGTGTCTGTATAGGCTCTATGCCCTCTCAGAGTGCTGGGCAAGCTGCTCCTCTACTGGAGAAGCTGTTCTCTGCTCTACCAGTGCAAGCCACCTGGCCCCAGCTCAGCGTTTTGATCATCTACCATCTAAAGAAATTTGTTTCAAAATGCTCTATCCCCCACAGCTGTCTCCTCAGAGGAGAAAAAGGCTGCATGGCAGGCAGGCAGCAAGATTCACCCTAGAACTGCACCAGGCAGTTTTCTAGCTGGGACAGAATGCGGATGGACAAGTGGGGCAAATAAAGGCTTCTAAAGTGGACAGCCACACCATACAGCCCTTTCATGAATTAAACATAAGCTATCTTACTTTGCTCTACTGAGAGGAGCTCTGGGGTTTGACTGTCAAAAGCCCAATTCTCATCCTCAGTTTTCTCTCATCAGCACTGTTTTCTAGCCTTGCCACTTTCTGAGCACTTTCATGTGCATGTCCCACCCCTTCCCAAACCATATAGTCAAGTAATCAGATCCTAGACTTGACATCCCTAGATCAAAACAAGCCATGGGGTTTTCCATCCCCTGTGATCCCCTGGATCACTGCAGTAGCTTCTCCTGAAGCTGGTCCAGTTTGAGCTCATCTTTCCTGAACAACAGTGATCTGGTTTGTCAACTCTCCGAAATGAAACTCTCACAACATTTCACATAATGCCATCAATACCTCACTCTTGCCAACAAACTTGGATGGCTCTGTGTAGAACTGAAGCAGCACTGCAACAGAACTATAACCTTGAGATAAAAAGGCCTAATGCTGATTGTCACAGTCATTTTCTAGTCCCTTATAAACCTAATTTAGATAGGCTGCAGATAGAACAAAAAAACCCTTGTAGAATTTTGACATTCAAATACACCAGCAGAGCTGTTCTGCTATGGGATATACTCTGCATTTCACTGGTCTCTAAACAGTTTTCATAACATTATTCCAAAATTAATGAGATCATTACAAGTACTTTTGAGTGGGTGGGGAAAAAAGCCCTAAACATCTGAGGAAAAGCTTGATAATTAGTACAGCAAATAGCTGTTCTATGCTGGCATATTTTCTAATAGATGGAAAGATTGAAAGGCCCAAATTTAGTTCATGTGACTTTTAACACACAAAATAGAACCCCAAGTATGAAAGACGATGCCAAGAAGCAACAGAAGAGATCTTCCTGAAGGAAGCACCACAGATGTGCAGTTATACTGCTAATCTGCATAAAGATGCAGGAAAAACTGTTATCACTGAACAATCCCATCAACCAAAATCCAGAGGAAGAAGCTCATGAAAACAAAGGCAATTAGTGCCCCACTTAAACTGACCAAAAATGAGTTTAAATTATTTTCTTCACAGAAAAGGATTCATCAAGCTTTTTTTTGGCACACTTTGGGCATCCCATTTATGTCAAGTTAAAGAGAGCACCATGGGCAGATCTAATTGCATTTAATTGCCATATGAATTTTTGAAAGGAAATACTCACTGCTGGAGTTCCAAGATCAGAAATTCAGTGCTTTAGATGCAACAGCTTTAAATAACATTTGATCACTATGCTCAAAGGCATTCTTTTACAAGGCAAAGAGGAAAAACATGAAGGCTGTTCAGGTACAGTTTTTCTAGATAGAAGTCATGCATGGCAAAGTTAATTTAAAGCTTTGCATCTTCTAAAAACCGAGCTCTTTGTGCTCAGCTGCTAATGAAATGCACGACACTCTGCATGACACCCATGAGGGTGAGGACAGAGCCAGACAGTCAAATGCAGGCCCTGAGTGGTGTGCAAAAAAAAAAACCTAAAAAAAATCAGCCACTGAATTGCAATAATATACAGAAAAAAAATCATCAAAACTATTCCAGAAAGTTGGGAAGAACTATTTTGTTAAGACTATGCAGATGCTGAAACATTTTTACATTTATGACATTTCGGGGAAAAAAAACCCCCAAACCACTAAACCTGCCCTCTGCAGCCTAAATAGAAGTTCAGTGTACACAGTCAATAACAACGTAACTTTCCAAGAGGTGTAAAAGACCAAGGAGCAGTATACCTCTGCTTACTAGCACTGAACTACTAATCCTGCTGTGCTTCTACAAGCTGAGTGGAACAGGAACCATCATTTATCTAAGCAACCCTAGAAATAATTCAAATGCACTACAGTAAGAAAAACTAAAACCTCCAAAGAATACAAAAAACAAGGAATGTGATTATTGCTAGACAGATGCTGTCATGCATTAATCACAAGGAGACAGATTTGCAATTCAGTCATCATAAAATTTATAAATCTACATAAAGTGAAAAAAAGAGATAATTCATTTAATAACATGAAATATGTATCCAGCACTGAACACCAGAGTCAAGGTTGTCCTTAGCCATTCCGTATTCACTGAAAATGCACAAGGCCTGAATCCTTATTTTGATACAAACTAACATTGTACAGACTCTGCCTTTTTCCTGATGCAAAGAGCTTTAATTTGCAACATATGAATATCATCTTATTAATGTGCATTGCACATAAAACATCTGGAGACTCCTTTGTCCTATCTCGTCTTACACTTCCATCAGAAAAACACATTTTACTTGATCAAGCAGAAGGGTTTTACTTCTAGTCCCCTTTTTGATGGGAGTCAAACATATCAGGAATTAAATGCTGAGTTTTGAAGAATGATTAAACCATTTGTAGCTAGCTTAAATCACTGCACCCACTTTCTGCAGACAATCTTGCAGATGTGGAGAAGAGGTGCATAAGGTTTTTCATGGGATTCTTCATCACCGTTGGACCAAACACAAAAGCAGAAAGTAATCAGTGATTCAGTTCTTTAAACTGCAGCACCACTTCACAATGATAAAGTAAATAGACTAGAATTAAACTGTCCAGCTAATTATGTAACAATTCACTTCTTAAAGGAAAAACAATGCCACTCCTCCATTGCATATCCAAAACTGATAGCTGTTAAATCACTGAGCTGCTATGCTGAAGATTATTACCTCTGACACATAAAAGCTGCATTTGGTGCAGCTCAATTTCAAATAGCCCCACAACTCACACAATATGTACATGAGCACAAAGCATGTCTTAATTCACCATGAGGTGCATTTGCTGGCCAGCCTGTGCACTACTCACCTGCTCACTGTAGAGAACCTGGACGTTTTTGATAATGCGACAGTGTTTCTGAAGAATTGCTACAGCCTGAGCCAACGGCATTCCTGGAAATAAAAACAGGTGCATTTCTTCAGTGCAGAGACCAGCTAACAAAGATTTTTAACAGCAAGGTTACTCATGAGGTAACCAAACCACCATCAGCAAACACTGAGTTACAACAGAAAGGTATGTGGTCAACAAACAAGCTGACTTGAGTCATGGTATCAGCACAGACCTGGTGTTTGGAAACAAAAAAAGTCATTGTTTATCTACCTACAGTTGTTAGGCATATATGAAAAAAAATATCTCTAGACACAAAATTAAACAGCAAAGCTCAAGCAGAAAAAGCGAAGAGCTTGCCACAGCCTGTGCACAGGATTTTCTGCTTTTTGGGGTCATCAGTCCAATAACTGATAAAACAACTCGTATCAGACTCCACCGGAGCTGGCTAGAGCACTGCTATTCACATTCAATACTTTTTATGCTTAGTAAAACACTTTTCACAGCACACACTTTTTTATTAAGCTTGATGAAGTACTGGGTATTCATACCAGACACATACAAATACTAACACAGAGCAATGATTCTCCTTAGACCTAAAAGGCCACATTAGCCGCTGATATGGCTCTATTTGTGTCAAAGAAGAAACTTTGTATATCTTGTCTGTAAACAGAAGATATACTAAAAATTTGGTTCAACTGAGGCAATACCCTTACAGTCACTCAGCTTTTCATACATTTTCAAGGGCTTTTTTTCTTTCCTTATTGTGTATCTTATCTTTACAACTATATATTTCTGAAAGCAGAATGGAACAGCTGATTCTGCAGAAAAAATAGCACCACACCATCTCATCATTTATCACACTAAAAACCTTTGTTGCCTTTCCAAATGAAATGTGATCACATTCCTGGATTCAAAGCAGGCATTTATAAAGCGAGGTTATGAGATCATAATTGTGAAGTTTTATTTTCCTACTAACTGCTGCAAGTCAGTTTAGATTAGTTATCTGACATTTTATTTCCATTCCCTGCCCTGTCCTTTCCTATTTCTAATTTTTAAATGCTAAGAAAGTTGGCCTGATTAGGGATAAGAAACTACACTTTTATTACATTCAAAATTTTTAGTTACTAGCTACACCTCTCAAACTCAGACAGTATGTCATGTTTTAAAGCACCTTTTTAGACATTATCTACAGTACCAAAGTGAGAAAACTGTCTTTCCATATATATCTATCTATAACAGACACACCTAGCTCACCATGGCTACTGCTTTAAAATAATAATGGCATAACACTAAAAAAAAAGAAACCAAAAACATCATTCTCATTGTCATGCCCATATATTGCAGCTTTGCTGAAATGATGAAATCAAGTTTTGGCAAAACAGATGTACAGATTAGAACTACAGTGATTCAATTTGCAAATACCATACACAAACATGTCTGAGAAACTGGTTTTCACCTTAGCCCATAATCCTGGGGACAATTTGGTTTGCAGCTAGAAATTATACATCAGTAGATGATATTAAGTAAAAAAGAATTATTATTTTAATAACAGTAATGAAATTAAAATGCAGAGCCACACAATAAAGCAGCACTGTTTCCTATTATCTAGGAAATAGCAGTTGCCTTGTAGTCTAGGCAGCAGAGTTTGAAGATGATAGTTATTATGTATTAGGTAATATTTTCAAAATGGAACAGAAACATGAATAGCACCAAGAAGTTAAGATCAAAGATGCTGCTGTAAAAGTTCCACATTTCTCAACCTAGTAAAAAGCATGAATCCAGCAAAAAAAGTAAGGTTGACTGAGGAGTATAAAAACCACGTTTTAAGTCAGTATTCATAAAAGACTTGCAGAGCTCAAACTATGAGCTCATTTAAAAAATAAACCAGTGGCACAGGCTGAAGCCCAGCCAACACAGCTGACAGGGCCCATACGCCGATGGTGCCGGCAGCCTGTGAGGATTCAGTCAAAAAGCACCGGTTGAAGTGCAGAAACACAGAGTTTGGGCTGTAGTTTGATGTAAACTGATGCAATCCTGGGCTGGTAAGTGTGCAAACAGATGGCTCATGTGACTCTCTTACTCACAGTTTTCTCAGGCTGCAAGCAAATGGACATGGACTGGCTTGGTTCAATTTTCGGTAACTGAGAATCAAACAGATCTGCCCATACAGCTGCTTAGAAGAGCTACAGTGGGCAACCCAAATTCTCCAAGAACAGTTCACAGGACCCAAAATGTGTTCAACAGCCAGTATCCTCCCTTTGCCTCCATTTGCAGAAAGTCGAAGAAGGGATAAAAAAATGGGTTATTTTTCTCCACTCTTCTCAGACACAACGTCCCCTTTTTCCTCAATGTTTGCCAGCCTTTGCAGTCAAAGAGAAAAACAAAGAATTCTTTTTCCCTTGCTCATCAGGCAGGGGGAATGGGGAAGCAAATATGGTATCCAGCACATCAGCCAGTCAACCAAACTGAGCCATGGCAGTAAGGCCCACAGAGACCAGTGCTAGGGCTCTTGTGTCACAGACCTTTTCCTCTTCTAAGTGCTGGAATGATACAAGGAGCACAAGGCAGTTCTCTCACATACACTGGTCAGGAACATCATGGCTTGAAGCATCAGCCTATGCTAAGACTGCTTGGCTTGAAGGGATGAGGACAGAAGTGAATAAAGATTAGGAGGAAAATACAAGAAAATCTAAGATGAATCATAATGCATTAAATGAAGATTTGTGGAACTCGGTACAAAAAGAAAGTATAAAGCGCAAGAGAAATGCAAGTATGCCTTAGAAATTATACATCTCAAACACTAATAATATAGCTATAGGCACTACAGAATAAGTATTTAATTGTCCTCTAAAACTGCAGGAATGTAGCCCGAGAGGTGCAGGAGCACAGGTATCTAAACTCAGTCTTGGTTAAATTTTTTATGCTCTAGTCACATAGTGAGTCAACACTGGAGCCAGAAACAGAATCCAAAAAGTCATGTACAAAATTTTCCTGGCATTTCCCCTCAGTCATCTCCATTGTGGGCACAGTACTGGATGCCAGAGTCAGCAGCAGCTCAGGAATACTGCCATTAGTTCTGCTAAGAGCAGAGCTAAACAAATAATGAGTAGAACAGTGCTGGCAGTGAGAGTCCCATTTACACCAGCACTACCAATGCCGCTGCCACTAACACAGCTGAACCAGCTTTGTCAGCAGGGACAATCTTCACACAACATCGCTGCTGCACGACAAAGTTAAGTATCCTAATACCTAGTCAGCCTCCTGCTCTGCACCAGCAGGTCATGCTAATTATATATTAGACACATCACATGGTGGCTATGTTTACTCCAAGAAATACAGCTGAGTTTCCTCTCTCTCACATCTATGCCTGTGTGTGTGCATGCACATAGACAGAGACACTGTAAAATTTTAACCATGAGACTACATTAACAGGCTTTCCTTGGGAAAAGGAAAAACATTTTCTCTTTCCTTTCCTTGTTTTGATACAGAAAATGGAGGGGAGCTAGTACTCTGTATTCATGAAGACAGGGTATGCAGCTGGAGGTTACTTTTCCCCAGGTAACACAGGCACTAAAGGATGGCAGAAGGTCACGCAAAGCTGAGAGCACAGAACATTTAGGGTGCAAGGAGTTCACCAAGATTTCGAAGGGTGGGACCTGAGGTGCTATAATTAGCCTCCAAAAGCCATTTAGCCCTGTCTGTAACCATCAAGTTGTACTTGACTGAAGTCACAGCAGCATAAACAGCCCTTTGTGTTTGATGGGTTTCATATAAATAACTCCAAGGCACAACACCACTCCTTAGGTCCAACCTAGTTAAGGACAACTGTGTAACAGCGTCTTTAGGAACAGTCTGTCCCTTCCCTGTCACAGGTGACAAGTGCAGCAGCCCAAGTGTAACTCAAGTTCAAGAGGGCTGACACACAGTGCCTTGTTTACATCTACCAAACTCCTATCCCCATTAACTTCACACAGTGTTACAGCAATGATGGAAAATGGTAATAAAAGAGGCCAACACTGATATGACACAATCACTCAAAAAAGGTGATATTGTCTGTATTTTCTGAGAGTTTTAAGGACTACCAATATCTGCTTGAAAACACAGGTCACTTGAAGAATCCACACCATCTCATTTCAACTGCACATTTAAGTGTTCCTCCTGAACACCAGCCAAATTTGCATTAGCTAGGGGCAAGTTCTTTCTCATCACAGTACACAGAGCAATAACTGGTAGGGAAGCTTTTTTTCATCTCAGTGAGATGAAAAATACAAATGATTGGGGGGGGAAAAACACTTGTCATCTAACCCTGAGAAAATATCTCCAAAGTTTACTTTCTCCACTATTACGCAACCCAAAGAAATTGTGAAACTCGACTCATGTTTATGAAGGGTTCGTACAGAAAAGCACAGCATTTACAGTAAATATCAGTTCACAGCTGAAGCTGCCAATATCACCTGACACATATTCAGGTGACAATCAGTACATTCATGCTTCCTCTTCTAGGAGTTATTTAAAAGAATGACTAGACTCAGATGGCAAGACAAAAGAAAGCAAACGAGCAGATGAAAGCACACAGTCAGATAAACAAAGCACAAGTTGGCACGCAAAAGTCAAGACGAAACCATAAACTACAAGGAAATCCTTAAAGCTCGTACTTTAGTATTTTTAGCGACGGCGAAAGGTGAGCTTTGGCTCTCGCTCCCTTTCTCTCACCAACTCCCCGAAAGCGCCGGGAGAGGCCTTACGGACACCGGATGCCGAGGGGAGCGCATCGCCCCGCTCACGGCCAGGGCCGGGGAAGGAACACACTCACCTAAGGTGAACTCCCATTGCTCGTTCCCCAGAGACCGCTCGGGCACCACCTCCAGATCTAGCATTGGCTCAGGTAGCGCGGAGGCCGCGGGCTGGCACGGCGGGTCACCGGGTCGCTGCGCCGGACCCCTGCGGGAGGGACGCGGGAGGGAAGCGGGAGGGAAGCTCGCAGCCCGAGCC